TGGTGAAACCACCCTAGCCCCGGAACCCTTAACCCTATGATCCTCTAAACCCCTAAGCTGCTAAGACCCTACACCCTTAAACTCCAAACCCCGACCCCTTTAAACCCTGAGCCCTGAACCCCTGAACCCTTGAGTCCCTCAAGCCTTGCCCAAGGTCCTCCCAAGCTCCAGAATCTTCAGGGGACTTCGAAAGCCAAGCTCTCTGAAGACTCCTCAACCTTTTGCTGTTGAACCCCTACACCCTAAACGCCCCAAGCCCTATGGTTTCAGGCCTACAACCGTACCCATAGGCCCCCATAGTAGTTCCTTTTTGGGATTACTTTATAGGAATCATGAGCCGCAAAAAGGAACGACTATGGAGCCTATGGGTAAACCCTAACAGGATTCGCACATGAGCTTGAAAGGTTTTGTGAAGCCGTTTTCTGGTGTGTGTGTGTGTGTGTGTGTTTTTTTTTTTTTTTTTTGGGGGGGGGGGGGGGGGGGGCAGTCTTGAGGGGCCAGGGCCCTAACCCGAAAACCTAAGCCCTAAACCCTACCTTAACCCCCACAAAGTAGGGAACAAAGTGGCTCAAGACCTATAAAAGCTATCATGCTAAATATTTTCAGGGCCAACTTGAATGCTCACCTAGAGGCTCCATAGTAGTTCCTTTTTGTGGTTCATATATGGAACCCTAAAGGGTAACCCCAAAAAGGAACTACTATGGGGCCTATAAGTAAACCTTTAAGGGGCTTGGGTTTCAGCAGCAGGAGTCGCAGCTGCAGAGCTTCCAGCAACGGAGGAGCGATGGAGCTTTGGTTTACTGTTTTTGGGGGTGCAGAGCTTTGGGGTTTAGGGCATACGGCTTGTAGGGCTTCGGGTTTAGGGTTTTGGGGTGTAGGCTTCTGGGTTTCGGGCTGGTGTAGGGTTTACCCAGAGACCCCAAAGTAGTTCCTTTTTGGGATTACCTTATGGGATTCTATACACGAACCCCCAAAAGGAACTACTTTGGGGCCTTTGGGTAGGGCGCCCCTGTCATTCCAAAGGAAAAGCTTGGCGAAAGGGTCTCCTGGAGGTTGCAGGGGCATCGCCGAAGTTGAGGATCCCATGTTAGGGTCTAGGATTTAGGGGTTTAGAGTTTCGGGTTTAGGGGGGTTTAGGGGTTTAGGGTTTAGGAGTTTAGGGTTTAGGGGTTTTGGGGTTTTGGGTTTAGGGGTTGAGGGTTTAGGGTACTCTCTTTGCTATAGCCTCCTTGTTGCGTCGCTCTGAATTAGCGTTTCGGGTGTACTTCAGAGGTACGTGAAGCAGTGTGTGAACCCGCAATTCCCCTTGGAGTGAGCATATTGTGACTGGAAGCACGCACTTTGGACCCCAAAGTGGATGAAAAGATAGTTTGATGGGTAGCTAGCAGCGTGAACATACATGTATACAGAAATGCGATATGTTGAGATAACGGACATGGACACATAGAGATATAGGGATATAAGGGTCTCCCGGAGGTTGTCGGGGCATCTTCGAAGCTGAGGATCCCATGTTAGGGTTCAGGGTTTAGGGGTTTAGGGTTTCGGGTTTAGGGGGGTTTAGGGTTTAGGAGTTTAGGGTTTAGGGGTTTAGGAGTTTAGGGTTTAGGGGTTTAGGGGTATTCTGAGCTTCAACCCACAGCTACGTGTAGACCCTAAGCCTTAAGCCACCAAACCCTTGAGCCATACAGTAATCGGAGCCTTCCGAAGCCCTAAACCCTTAACCCCTAAACCACTAACCCCCAAACCCCTAAACCCCTAAACCCCTAAACCCCTAAACCCTAAACCTCTAAACCGGTTTCGCGACGCTCTGCGAGGACAACGTGCAGAGCCCAAGCAGGCGACAGTTTGCGAGTTGTGTTGTTCTGATGTTGTAGGGGTTTATGAGCCTTAAACTCTAAGCCTCTGTTGGTTTCAACTTTGTGAGGGTTTCGATGAGCCCTAAACCCTTAAACCCCAACCAGAGCCCGACCCTATAAGTGTATTAAGTAGGGCTCGGAGTTTTATTCTTGTGAGGGTTTCGATGAGCCGAAACAGAACCCGACCCTTTCGCTGGAGCTCCACACCAGCGTGCTTCAAACTCTATACCTAGAGCCCTGTAGGCACAAAGCCTGAACCGAAGCTAAGAAAATGGCCCAACACCTATAAAAGCCCTACATACGTTGGGGGCTCCAGGTATAACTTCGAGGGAACTCCAGAAAGTTGGAATATGGTTTCAGGGTAGGATACCCTATAATCTGCCATAAAGGGTTTAGGATAATCATATTCCAACTTTCTGGCTTTTACTGTAGACTTTAGGATGTCCTTAAGGGGGGGTGGTCCAAGGGGGGTAGGTAACCTAGTAATCCCCATTATTCCCCAATACTCCCTAAGCTTCCCTAAGGTTCCCCAAAGCTCCCTAGTACCCTCCCCCCTTGAACCACCCCCCCTTAAGGATCCTATAAAGACTGGTAGTGACTAGCAGAATTGAGATGGTAGTGTTTGCGACTCTACAGGCCCTCCTGTCAGTAGGCCCTAAACCCCAAAATGGGAGTTTCCGAAAACTAGGGGGTACCCTATTTTGGGGGTCCTTGTAGCAAGGATCCTACTATTTAGGGTACCATATTAGGATCCCCTATTTTCGGAAACTCCCAAATCATAAACCCTAAATACCGTAAAGCCTACACCTACTTGGGGGGTCGGGGGACTTAGTAAGTAGTTAGTAAGTAGACTTATAAGTACCCTAAAAGGGACCCTAATTTGGGTTATGGTACTTATAAGTCCCAAAAGTAACCAGATACTAAGTCCCCCGACCCTCCAAGTACCCGTTTTGGGGGAGCTTTGAGGGTGCAGAGCCAAGAGCCACGGAGATGAACCTTGGACACCATTCTGCTCCCGATTCGGAGTATGACTAGTTGTCTCCAGAAGCGGTGTCGCTATATATATATATATATATATATATCAGTATATATTTGTTATATATATACATATATACATATATATGTACCTCTATATATGTATGTATATATAAGTTTGTTTATTTGTTTAATTAGATACTGCTATATATAAAGAAACATATGTATGTATGTGTTTTTTGAAGAACTATTGCTATTCTTCTACTCTTATCAGTATAATATTTTGTCTACTATATACAGATATAACATATGTATAAACGTATGTATACAACTTACATACATACATACATACATACGGAGTTGTCTCCTCTTCAGGCCAGGCGCAGCAAGGTTGCCGCAGGTAAGTGCTTGCTGGTCCGTGGAATGTGCGTCCTCACCGCAGTTTGGCTCCTTAGCCATGCCAAGGTCCCTCCATGAGGGGGCTCTTTGGTTGACGCAAGTAAATTTGCCATGGCTGAGTCAAGCCCGTTGGCTTCTGGGTGCCGGAGGAACATACTTTATTACTTGTTTTGGTATTACCGTATTACCTGTTCCTGAAAGGAACCGTGACGAAATCAACATGTTCTGTTTTTTCTTCCCTGGTTGCTTCAAAGCCCAGGCTCAGTATGCCTCAAGACTGAGCCAAAGCCCACGGACAGCGAGGGCAGGAAGCGAGTGTAATGCAACCTTCCCGATGTGCCTCGATATCTTCAGGGGTTTAGGGTTTAGGGTAGGGCATAAAGTGGGGTTCTGACTTCTGAGAGCCTGTATATAATGCGAACCTTTTCAAGCAATCAGTTTCCCCGCGTAGGCCTGTAGGTAACCATCCCTGCAACATCCTCCACCCTACAGATCCTCCACCCGATACCCATGCACGTTTAGCGCAGTCGCTTCTCAAGGTATGCAGTGCCGCTTGAGATCTTTCTACAGATCGTGGTGATCAAGCCATATGAGGAGATGACAGTGGCTGAGCCTGGTGTTTAGGGTCAGGCCGCAGTTATATACTGCTGATGGACAAAATCCTGCATGACCGTAACGACTCTACACCATGGGAATTATGGTATAGTCCTTATAATGGGTAATGCAGGGTTTTGTCCATCAGCAGTACCCTAGGAGGTCAAAACGGGTTTTAGCCTATGGGGGTTTAGTAGGGATTAGGGTTCCCATAGTAGGGTACATGTTAAGGAATCCCTACTGCAAGAATCTCCCCCATCAAGCTAAGGAATTTCTGATGTGCAGGAGGCATAGTGTATATCCTTATCACGTTAGCTTAAAGTCAGCTCCCCCTGTTGACCATTGTAAGACCCTGTTTAACAACTGATTTGGCACAGCATTACCGAGACCCTCATTGTTCTTCAGATCCGGGACGATTGGGATCTATCCACAGGCCCCATAGTAGTTCCTTGTTTGGGATTACCTTATAGCCCCAAAAAGGAACTACTATGGGGCCTATGGGTAGGTCCCGACTATAGAACCCATGGCAAGAAGGGATTCGAGTGATCGGGATCCTGCATTAGACGTCAGAAGCCCATGCAATAGCCCAAAGGGTCCATGTGCCCAAATCGTCACAGTACCTGTATACCTGCATAGCTAGTAGGGACGACATGAAGGCCAAAGTGTAAACGTACCAGTTGGGTACATGGATGGTAACTGCATTGTACTAAACTGATCCAGACGGTTCAAACAAGTGAAGACAACATATCCGCCCTCCCGGCCCCGAACGGTTCTAAATAATTACCTCTATCATCTTTGGGGTTTTCTTATTATGTTTATAGTATGATGGACCCCAAAGTCCTATTCTAAGTATTGAGGCCCCTATACTACAGAGGCCTGAATTATTCGCAGTACGTAATAAAGTATGTCTTTAGAGTCCGTCAAAAGCTCATCTTACAATATACTATACCAACCCCAAACCACCAGGCCGCCGTTGAACCCTATAAGGCCATCCGGAAGCCATGTACTTACACAAGCCTATTCTGCCCATGAAGGTCTTAATGTCAAAAAAAACCCAAGAAGGGAAGAGCAACGGATCTTGCTCCCAAACAATAGGGCCTGTAATACAACCCCCCCTCGCCACATCAGGCACCTCAAGTTGTAAGCATCCGCCTATAGCAACACCCCTGAGAGGAGATGATGGAAGCGGGTATGCTAACCGAATTTCTGGAGACTCTCGGACGAGCTCTCTTCGTCTCTCATGAGTGGCTTGGAAATCACCACCCAGATCTCCGGCATTCTTCAGAAAAATTCTTTATGGTCGAGGCACTTTGGTATCTGGGCCTACTGGGACCCTGCAAAACCTACGGCTTTGTAGTTAATCCCGATGGATGGATGGATGGATGGCTGGCTGGATGGATGGATGGATGCCTGTCTGTCTGTCTGTCTGTCTGTCTGTCTGTACGTACGTAGGCACGTATGTGTGTATCTGTCCCAAACTAGAAACCCGGATAGGAGCCTTCAAGGAACCCCTAGATTATTGACGGAACCCCTGTGGAAGCCCTTCGGGGACCCTCGGAGAAAGCCTCCCCAGAGAGCCCAATACCCCTTATATTTAAGGAATATAGCTGACATCATAATATGAGCCCCTATGTGATTTAAGCCATATTCCTTAATTAAGGGGTATTGGGCTCTCTGGGGATCCTGCTTCGACCTCAGGACCCAGGTTCCCGGCAGCTGAAAGTCATGCAGGATGCCCTGGGCAACATCTTATCAGGAGCTAGATCTGCCTTAACCCTGAATATAGTAGAAGCCCAAAAGTTGGAAACCCAATAGCCTCGATCCTTAAGATCAATTTATAGGGAATCCCAGCACTATTTGGCCTTAATCCGGTTTCCAACTTTATGGAGTTTACTGTATAATCTAATTACCGTCCTAGACCCTCCATCTACCCTCTTTTAGACCCTAAGTACCCATTATTTGGGACCATCTACCCCTATCCGTAAGGTCGGGAAGTTTACCCATAGACCCCACAGTAGTTCCGTTTTGGGATTACGCACCTTATAAGGTTCTAAATATGAAGCCCCCAAAAGGGACTACTATGGAGCCTCTAGGTACAGCTTGGTTTTAGGTCTTGGGGTTAAGGTTCAGGGATTTGGTTTCAGGCAGGTTTTAGGGTTTGAAGGCCCTGAACACCTTAAGGGCTTGACTCGAAACCCTGAGCCCCCAAACCCTTAAGCCGTTTACCACCTATGATCCTTTGCCCTTAGACCCTTAAGCCCTCAAGCCCTAACACACCCTAAGCCGTGAAATCCTTGAACTGCTGTCTACCATCTATAATCCTTGGCCCTTACACCCCTAGCCCTCAGGCCCTAAACACCCTAAGCCGTGAAATCCTTGAACTGCTACAGCATTGTCAGGAGCAAGCCATGTCGATCTTCCGATGCTTGCTCCGGCATTTGTGGCGTTCACGGGTTTAGGGTTTAGGATGGTTTTAGGGTTTAGGGTTTAGGATGGTTGTAGGGTTTAGGGTTTAGGATGGTTTTAGGGTTTAGGGTTTAGGATGGTTTTAGGGTTCACCCTATCCCTCCAGGGACCTCATAGTTAGGGCCCTAGACGCCTTAAAAACCCCATAATAAGGTCCCTGGAGGCATAGGGTCAGGGTCTAGGATATCGTCCGATCTGGCTCAGTGGCTAAGTCAGGGTTTAATTGGGTGCGACGGAGATTGGAGTTGAGTTGGCTGACCTTCTGTCCGTGTGTGTAGAGCTTGAGGTTTGCTGCAAACCCTAGACCCTAAAGCTTACAAACCCCAATCAATAGGGGGAGTGTAGATTGCTTTGGGTTCCAAGGTTGGGCAGATTGTATGAGGTTCGGGTTTGTGAGCGTGTGCGAGGCGGATTCCACTGACAAAAAAGCCTTCAGAGACTTGTTAACTAGGTGTACACCTGCCCCAACGCGCACACACGTACACGCACAAAGGACAGACAGAGACACACATGCAAGTCCTTGCCAGTACATCCGCAGACTCGCAGATACGCAAAACATTGCAACACTGTACGACCTCAAGCCACAAGTCCGTATAGAGGATCCAATGACTTGCTGTTTCGTGTTTCATGCCCCAACCACGCGGTCATCGCCTACCATGTTGTGCGGTCCGGGGGGGCTATGGGTAAATCATGGCCCTGGACCCTTTACCTCTGAACCCTCTCCCTTAACCCTAAGCCGCAGCCCTAATCCTGGGTCTCTAAACAGCCCAAAGTAGGACCTATCTAGGTCTCCCTCCCTTGCTCTTTTTTTGGAAAAAAGCTACCCAGTACCGAAAGGGGAGCCCATTTTGGGTCCGAGGCCACTGGAATCCTTGATTGTCTGTACACTTGGAGCCTTGGGTAGGAAACGCAAACCCCAACCCTCAGCTACACCCCTAAACTGAGCCGTTAAAGCAAGGATCGTGACCGAAACCCTAAATCCTAAGCCCTACAAACAAAAGACTAAGCCTCATTAAACCAAGGATCGTGACCGAGATGTACTATGGGCGCCTTTCGTGTCCCACGGCGGCCGACTTCATGTCGAAACCACTTTTTATCTGGCACCTGGGTAAAGAGAGTTAGGGTTTAGGGTTAGGTAGGGCTCACCATGATCATTAGGTACCTGAGTAACCATACTCCGATACTTATGTGGTACCTGGCAGCTGTGCGGAGGATTGCTTTTGGAGTTGAAATGCTAAGGCTTGAGCAAGAGTTCACGGGTTCGAGGGTTCACGATTTGATTGTCTTGGGCCAAGCTTTGGGCGTCCATAGCTAGGGTTCAGATTCCTTTCATCTCAATAGCCGAAGCCTTCATCTTAGAACGACGATTCAGGGCTCAGGTTATGTGGAGGCCCGTTGAAGTCAGCCTGGGCCTTTAGAGGAGCTTCCCTGGGACCAAGAGATGCGAAGTTGATTAGGGTCAGGGGTTTTGGGTCCTTTGCCTTGGGGGGCATGTTGTGCTTCAGTGTCAAGGCATGATGGAGCTGTGCGTTGCTCCCTTATATTTGAGCTGAAGTTTATCTTCCCAATATTTTCAAGACATTGAACACTCCTGCGAAGGTATGACTACATGTGCGTTCCTCAAGGTAGTGGTCCAGATGCAATCGGCAATCGCCAGCACGCCATCGACAGCATTCCGTCCTATGTTGCCAGGCGCCTCGGCCACTTAGGCCGCTAAGAGAACGCATCCAGACCAAAAGCCCGTATGACCCCCAAACCCCTTAATAAACAATTTGTTACGCCCTGGCAGCGTGTATGTTCCTATAAGCACTTCGGTGTATCTCAGAATAGTTGTTCATATCTAATTAGAACTCTAAGTACGATTCCCGCCACGGCGTACCCGTCTCTTCATAAAACCTTAACTCTAAGCCCGGTTGTGGCCCCTGCCCAGCACTTTGAAGAGCTAATCTACCGCAGATCCCAATATCCCGTAATTGAGGAATATACCTTAAACCATAATATTAAGGCCCTTGTAATTTAAGGTATATTCCTTAATTAAGGGATATTAGTTACGTCTTGACCCAAACGGCCCCTGCGCCCACTTCTTTGAAAGCCAGTCTGACTGTAGACAGCCTTAATTCTCCGGAATTGTTAATGTAATATAGGGGCTTTAAAAATTACCTATACTATGTTGGGGTTCCTTACTACAAATATAGTACAACGGGCCCCAAAACCCTATTCTAATCATTAAGGCCCGTATATTTCACATGTCCATTGCCAACCCTTTGTGCTCAGAGTTCGGGCTGTTTCTTCCTGGACTGGAGACATTTCCTTAAGGAAAGCTTGTCTACGTGCAGCCCACCAAGGGCACAGCGATCTGAACCCTAGCCTAAACCCTGAAACTTATAAGCCCTAAATCCTGAACCGCAACCCCTAAAGCTTACAAGCCCGAAAGCTTTAAATCCTGCACCCTAAACCCTATAAAGCTTATAAGCCCTAAAACCCTAAACCCTAGTCACCCGTCTAAGCTGACAACAAGAACGGCCGGGGCCCGATCCTCCAAGCTACTATATAAGGGTTTAGTACAGTATAGGGGCCTCAATAATTCTGCTGATGGACAAAATCCTGCATGACCCTAAGGACTCTAAACTATGGGAACTAAGGTATATTCCTTGTAATGGGTAGTGCAGGATTTTGTCCATCAACAGTTGGAATAGGGTATTGGCGCCCGTTATATAAAGGCAAAAAGGACCCCCCCTCCCCCCAGAATAGTACAGGTAATTATCAAGGCCCGAGAATTACCTCGACCGAGCGGAAGGTGCGAGTACTTTGTCATACTTTGTCCAGCCCTGCAGAGCCTTGTCGGCAGTGATCTGGTAGTCCTGGTCAGTGGTATTGTAGTCACTTTGATACTTCCCGCCGACATTGGTGGCATCGCAGACGTCGCTGTTGCCGTCGGCGGTGGCAGACATTGACATGGTGATAGTTCTTTTCGGTTGGGCACTGCTCTCAAGTCCTGCAGCCAAAAGATAGACAGCGATGACTCCCCAGCTGTAACAATTTTTGTTGTCATGCCCATGACGTTCATGCTGTGTCGTGTCACCAGTGATGCTAGGTTTGTCATCCTTGCGATGGCATCAAAGCTTGAGTTTTTGTTACCGTCATGCTACAACACAACTAGCACACTACATGCTACTGCTCCTATCCCGAAAGATGCTCCTTGAACCTCACCCCTGCACGCCCAGAGCTTTAAGTCTGACGCCCTATGTATGGGACGTTTAGCCGCAAGCCTTGCATCCCCCATGCCAAACCAGATACCCTAAACTCTAATAGATCCTACGCCCACATTTTTAACCCCGAACCGCAACGGAGGCACTCATCCCCAAACTCCCTAAAGATCAGCAGAATATTGCTTCATGCTATAGATATTAAATAAACTGTATACATAGTAACACCACAAGCAGAAACGAAAACTCAGCAGATCGAGGCATCACGACCAAGGGCGAATGCTGAGTCAATCCAGCTGGGCGCAGCGAGGCCACCGACAGACGTGGATGGTTGTTAAAATTATGGTCCCTTTTTGGGTCCCTATTATAATACGGCGCCTATTGTTTATGGTACCCAGAAAGGGGCCATTATTTTGACAACTACCCATGTAGGGTTAAGGGTGGGATCTGGGATTTGGCGTTCAGGATTCAGTTTCTGCGGTTTGAACATGCATGCGCCTCGGTCTATAGTAGAAGCCAGAAAGTTGGAACATTAGTATCCTCATGCCTTAAGGCAACGTAGAAGGGATCCTAGCACCCATCCTCCTAAACCCATGTTCCAACTTTCTGGGGTTCACCATAAGTGCACCCGGCCGATCCTTTTGGGAGACTGGGCATCTCGGCACCGCTTCTCGATACTGCCAAGGTACCTATAGTCTCCATTGTAGTTCCTTGTGGGGTTACCTTATAGGATCCCAAGTACATATTTGGTTAAACCAAAAAATGGAACTACAATGGAGACTGCAGGTAGACATCTACCCCAGCGGTTTAGTTTAGAGCTTTGGACAGCTCTAGTTGGGTGCAGGACCCCACATCAGTATCAGTGCGTGTGTTCGCAGACTTGTTTTTTGATTTCGCAGGTCATGGCTCCCCATATTTTCGTTTTCATTATGCATGAGCAGGATTGACTTCACGACGACGACTATACATTATGCTCTCGGAAACCCGGGCCCCCACACTCTCCCATGGTATCCCAGCCAGTGCTTCTACACAGGAGCGCAGACCGGATCAGAGCAGGGGCAGTGGTACCGTTTGCAAGAAAGAACAACATCATATTTTTGTATGGTAACGAGCACAAAACGATGACATCGCTGCTAAGAAGTGGCAGCAACCATACCATACCTCTGTAGAACACACTGCCCCACACAGGCGGGGCGGGGCCAACCAAAACGACCACAGGCCCCACCCCACAGGGGGGAGGGGACAGGGCACATAACGATGACATTACTACTAACATGCGGCAGCAAACATAGCATACCTCTGTGGAACACACTGCCCCCCACAGGCGGGGCGGGGCCAACGAAAAGGACCACAGCCATTCCACAGGAAAAGGGGGAGGGGAGGCCAAACGGGGAAAGCGACAAGGCCAAACAAGACGACTACCCACTTGACAGGCAAGGGGGGATACCATGGGGTGCGGGAAGACGGGGGGGTGCAGCAGCGCTGCACCACATATTACCACCACTACGGTCACTGTATTACTCAAGCTTTATAAGGATTAGGAGCCCTTAACCCGAAACTCTTCGTGCAACCCCTTCTGTTGCTTTCGGAGGTCTGCATGGTTTAGGGTTTGGGGATCTGGGCTCAAGACCTGTAATGTGGTTTACGGTAGTTTAAGGTTTAGGGTTTCGGGCCATTCACTGTTAGTGCTGCTCATGTTGCCGAGAGTGCAAGCAGGGTATCGTTGTTCTTGCTGTTGTCACTTGTATTCAAACTACCCTGACTGTTATGATTCTGCTTTGGCTGCTGTGGTGATTGTGCGAACATGACTCGTTCTTGTTTACAAGGTTTCTTATGCGGCTTGTGGATTGGCCTATCGGGACATCTGACTTCTGATGCTGTGGGGTGTTTTACGAAGTTTTTCCATGTAATTATAGGTTCAAGCCTGCACTCTCAAGCCCAAATCGCGTAAAGAGCGAAGCGTGGGTTATTTGGAACGTTATTATAAGGCGCTCACGAAACAAGGGTGGATGGATGTTTAGGGAACCGTGTTAAGGAGTTCCGGATGGTAAGAACGCCCTCAACAGCATAGAAGCACCTTCCTTGTGGTGATGCGTGGATATTTTTTAAAGTCGCTTTGCAGAAACCCCTACTTAGCAAGTGCGCTGAACTTCCAAGCGGTCTGATGATCCAGGTTCCTGAAGGACCAAATGACCCTTAAAAGTAGGGGCCCTATACCCATATACTATGAATCCCTATATGGTATATGAACCTTAAACCCTCTTGGGGTTCATTTCGTCCTTAAGGTTGGTGTCGTACGGAACGCCTTGCTCGGGAACTCGCAGCGCGCGATGATGGCTTCATGATCGTGATCGAAGCTAGGTCTGGGGGTTAAGGGCTTAAAGGGTGGGATCCGGTGGGGGCCTTTTGGGGTTTAGAGTGTGAGAGTGCAGGGGTTTTGGGGTTTCGGGTTCTGGTGTCTATATGTTTTGATGTTTTTGTGCTGCGAGTCCTAAGCAACAGCAAGAATTTACTTTGTGAACTGTAACAAGAAGCAGTCAAGGAAAGCCCTGTGCCTTGGATCAATGGTATCATTTGTGGTACATATGTGGGCCTGAATAATTAGTAGCAGTATTTTCCTTTTTTTTAAGTTCCTTTTTTGATTCATATGAAGTCCGGAAACGCTGTTCTAATTATACGGGTTCCTAGACTAATTTGGATATTTGCCAGTGAGTCAGGGTTTGGGGTGTTTGTCAACTGGCCGGTGTCCTAGCGATCAAGGTCCGGATACGGGCAAGCGGTCCACAGCACGCAACTTAGGGTCCTAGGTTTTACGCAGCAAGAGCAACCACTTGCAAGGTTCACCAATCGCTGGTGTTCGAAGTCAACCGGCACCCTGTCAAGATTTAGCGGTTTGGTTGTGTTGGCTCTGTTGTCTCTTGTGTTGGCTCTGTTGTCTCTTGCGATTCCTTGTCTCGAAGTGCTTCTTTGTTCCGAAGTTGTTGACCAGTTTCCAGGAACCAGGAGCCAGAACTCCGTTTTGCCAGACCTGAACTGAATCCTGAACATGTGGGGCTAACCGCAAGCATCAGCCCTTTGGCCTCAGCAGGGTAACTACCTAGAGGCTCCACAGCAGTTCCGCTTTGTGGTTCGCATATAGAATCCTATAAGGCAACCCCCAAAAGGAACTACTATGGAGCCTATGGGCAAGAGCAGGACGTGGGAACTTCACGGCTTAGGGTTAGATTCGTATCGCAGAAAGAGAAGAATAAGACACTGCTTGGGGAACGTAGTCCAGAGAAGTCCTTCATTTTTGCCAGATACCGTGGACAAGGACCTTATAGCTGGGGCGCTAGACCCCGTAAGGACTCATTTATACGGTCCCTGGAAGCATAGGGTAAGGCTTTTGGAGCCCTGTGTACGCTTGTCCCGGCCAAGGTCCATGGAAGCGCCTGGCTTGGGGAAATTTACTTACGAGGCAGCGAGGAAGAAAGTGACACTGTCGATGCTCGTTGCATTCTTGTAGTTGCTCGTTGCTGCAGCTGTTGTCTTCTGGGGTGGGGAAGCGGCTGAGAGTTGGGCCTAGTGGGCTTGTATACAGACGTTTTTGGGTGGGAGGGGGCCAGGGTTTGTAGAGATTGTGGGGTTGTTGGGTTTGAACGTTTTTAGGTTTGCCAGGTGTGGGTCACAAGGCTTCTGGGTTTGGACATGGCTAGCAGCTAGCTCTAAACTCCAAAACCCTAACCCCTAAACCCTAAACCCCTAAACCATATAAACCCTAAACCCTAAAAGCCCATGCAGCCCTAAGCTTCCCCTAAACCGTATAAGCCTTGAGGGGTTGTTGGGAGAAGATTGCCCACCAGGCAGACAGGCAGAAAGTGGGGCGAGTGATCCTCCAGATGGTCTCTGAATCGCAAGTCAAAGTTTTGATCCTTACCCTATCCCCCCAAGGACCTCATAGCTACGGCCCCTAGACCCCTTAAGGACCCCATAATAAGGTCCCTGGAGGCATAGGGTTAGGTTTGGGTGCGGGTTTGGGCTTCAGGGTTTAGCCTTGAAGGTCTTTAGGGTCCATGGAGCTTGCTGCTTGATATCTGAGGGCACTGAACCGCGCGTAGAACGGTTTAGGGAGAAGTCTTCCAGTAGCTCCTTAAGCTGTTTTTCGTTAGGCCTCTACATCGCTGGCGGGTGTCCTTTCTCAGAGATGTGGGCTCTTGAGTACTATCAAAATTAATGTAGGAGAATTAATGATTAAAATAGGGTTCTGGGGTTCCTTAATATATTCATAGTATGATATACCCCCAAACCCTATTCTAATTGTTCAGGCCCCTATATTATGTCCGTCCGCAGCTGCATTGCAAGTAGCGACGTGAGCCTGGATCTGTCCAGGCCTCGGAGCAATGGAAAGAAGACTCAGGGGTAGGTGCGAGGGAGGCGGGGGCAGAGGAGGAAATACAAACGAAACCCTGAACCGTGCAAACGCCTGTCACAATGACAGGTCCTCCTACCGACATGTATATCCAAATCTATATCTATATCTGTATCTATATCTACTCTCTGGTGAGAGTCGCCGAGGTCTGGAACAAGTTGCATCATTATCTCGCCCGTGGTGATCTGCATAAGTATCGTTTCCTTCTCAACCAGCAAGCCGCATGCCTGTTGCAGAACCTGAACCTAGGTGTAGTTGAATACCTTTTTGGACTTGTTCCTTAAAAGGGCCATTATGAAAGTCTATGCTTTTTTTCTCCGTGGTTACTTCAATGCCCAGGAACATAGATCCGATCGATGGGTTAGTTCCAGGATTTCGCAGTGAAGCAGACCCTTTTACGGACCCGAAAGCCGTGCTGCTGGAATGGTTCATGCACCAGAACGGATTCAAGAGCTACACGGAGTACGACAACGCAGGCTGGTCACCACTATGTTTCGCAGCGATGAGTGGAAATGCAGCTTTGGTGCAGTCGCTTCTAGACCAGAAGGCCAGTCCGAACGATTCTACACAGAAGCCGAAGAAGGAGTTGGTATTCGGCAAGAATTTATCCGTGCTCTCCATCGCAGCCGCCTACAAAAGCAATCAGGCCCGTCCGCACAATATCGGCGCCTGAAGAGTTAGAGTAGGGTTTGGGGGCCCATTATGCGATATTTTTCATAAGGAGCCCCAAACGTAGTACAGGTAATTACTAAGGCCCCCATATTACCTCGAAATTATCTACACTATGTTGGGGGTTCTTTATTATAATTGAGTATAATGGGCCCCGAAACCCTACTCTAATTCTTGAGGCCCCTATATTATCCCAACCCGACACCCCACACACTTCAGGGCACAAGTGACACCCTGGATGCACTGCAATCTTCACCTTGGTAGCACGCGAACACCCGCACCCTCGACCTGAAGCCCTAAACCCTTAACCTTCGTAAGCCCCAAACGTAAACCCCTAAACCCTATATCCTATAAGCCCTCAGGCCCCAAACCTAAACCCCTAAACCCTATATCCTATAAGCCCTAAGCCCTACACCTAAACCCTGAAGCCCTAACGCCAGGTCCTGAAGACGCTCATCTCGGCACGGGCCAGCGTCAATGCCCGCGACAGCCACGAAGGAACTGCCTTGCATTGGGCACCTAGGTGGCACTTTGGGAAACTGTTTGATTCCCCTTTAATGGCTATATAGATTACCCAGTCATAAGTGCTTTGAAGGGCCCCGAGACTGCAACCCAGGCAAATATTTCCAACAATCCTGAAGGAGTTGGAATTCTTTGCCAGGCTCTGGCGGGTAGTAATACCTCAGCGGCAATGAAATATTAGCCACTAAGCCCTGGTTTGGACAGCAACAGGAACAGGAATGACACTAGACCTTACCTATAGTGTCCATTGTAGTTCCTTTTCATGTTTAACCAAATATATAATTGGGATCCTGTAAGGTAGCCCCAAAAAGTAACTACAATGGAGACTATAGGTAAACCATAGGCCCTATTAGGGTGTTTGGAGGGCAGTGTTTTGTGAGGTTGTTGAACTGCGTGTTTGTGGCTTCAAGATCTTTAGAACTGCTGCGTCATGAAGAACCGGCTGCTGTTTTCTGGCATGCCTTTCTCAAATGCAGTATAAGCCTCAAGCCCTGAATATTCGGATCCTTGTTGTAAGAGACCTTAAACAAGGTGCCCAGCCCTAAACCCTATACTATGCCCCTAAAGCCCTGTCAATGCCAAAGAGTGCATTCCTCTATGGCGGCAGGCAGGTGCAGATCCCGCCAAACGCTGCTTCCCAGGGCTGACACCTTTCGAAACGGCATGCGCCTGTTCCGCCGTCGAGGCAAGTTGAGGGATTTCGGGTTTAGGGGGTTCAGTTTAGGGTTTAGGGTCATACCCTCCGAAAAACCTTGCAGAAGCCTCATATAGCGACCCTTCGTAGTTCAGGTTTTGAGGTCAGCCTGGTGACTACCTAGACCCCTAAAAGTATAGGTAAAATAATGGCCCAAAACCTATGAAAGGCGACTATTCTACATACTTTTGGGGTCCAGGTAGGCTGACTCTCAACGACTAAGTCGCTCCTCAGAGTCCAGAGTCCCGGTCCTACGAAAGACTGAGCCGTACCTGAACTTGACCCGAAAATCCCGAGCCGTCATTGTGGATGAGCGCAGGCGATGAAGGAAATGATGCTGGGTTATTTTCAGAGCACAGTTTGTGTTCTTTTGCATGTGAAGTCTTCACATAGAACAACATGATCAGTGGCACTAGCCATTCCTCAGGCTTTTTCAGGTCCCATGTACGAGTTTGCGGCGCAGTCTACACTGGGCACTCATGTTCCATGGAGGATCCACAGAAACCGTGAAGTTGCTTGGTATATAGGGTTCAGGCTCTTAGGGTTCAGGGGTTGTATGGTGGCGATGTTTTAGGATCGGGGCATCGGGTGTCGAGGGCGAGGCGGACGAAGTGTCAGGATTTGAGAGGCCTGCGAACTGAGGAAACAGAGAGTACCTGAACCCTGAATAACCTACCTTTTTTGGGCTCCTTTCTGTGATTTCCCTTACCCTAGGGGTCCATGTACCAAACTAGTATATACTTTGGACTTTGGCTTTAATGTAGTCCCTATATACGTACATTGTGGCCAAAGTATATGCGCTTTGGGTACATGGACCCTTAGGGTTACACAAGTGTGTAAACTCCTGACCCTGAGGCTCGAGGTTTAGCTACCTTGAAGGCGGAAAGCAGCATAGTTCCTCTTTTGGGGGTTACCTTATAGGATCCTTAATGCATAATTGGTTAAACCAGAAAAAGGAACTACAGTGGAGACTATAGGCAGGTTCTAGACCACCAGGAACAGCCAGAAGTAGGATCGGAACAGGACGAACAACAACAGCTCAGGGGATTCATAGCCCTTAGACTCTAAGCTGTACCACCCCTCAAACACAAACAACAAGCAGCTCAGGTGATTCATAGACCCCAAACCCTAACCGTCCCTCCTGAAAAGGGAAACCCACATACTAGTACATAAGCGAAAGCACACCCTACCTATAGTCTCCATTGTAGTTCTTTTTTGGGGTTACCTTATAGGATCCCAAGCATATATTTGGTTAAACCAAAGAAAGGAACTACAATGGAGACTATAGGTACAGCCTAAACCAAAAGAAGGGCCGCCCAGGTTCTTGATCCAAGCGCGAGCCGATGTGGATGAGCGCTTCCAGATCTCGGCAACCGAACCTACCTGGTGGCTGCTTATGAAGGCCTTGGGTCTTGAAAGGGTTCCTTCGGGGTTGTTCTAAGGGTTTCGGGTTCTAGAGGGTTCCGTTAAGGCCAGGCTTTCAGGGCTGTAGAGTTTGGTCCCTTTCAAGGGTTTGGGTTGTTCTAGGGGTATCGGGCTTGAGAGGGTTTGCTTCACGGGGTGTAGAGTTTACGGCATAGGGTTTAGGGATTTCGTGCGGCCCCACGGATTTAGGATTCATAAGAGTTCGGGGTTTAGGGGGTGGGGCTTGTAAGGGCTTGGGGTCTAGGAAGGCGCCCAGGGTTCGAAGCGGTTTAGGGCTTATAAGGTCCTAAAGGCTTGAGAGTTTATAGGGATCCAAACGGTTTAGGCTTCTCCGCCTTACTTCAGGAGTTTTAGGCAGGAGTGCAGGGGTTGAGGGTTTTTTAGGGTTTAGGGTTTAGGGTTTCGCCTAGCAAAGGGGGTGTAGGATAGCGTGTTGCGCCGTTTTGTTGATTGCCTTGGGTGGGAATCCGATCCCTAGTGGGTTCACCCCCGGGGTCTGAAACGTATGGTGCTTAGCATATTCGGTATGTGGGTTTAGGATAGTAGGAACGTGGGCGAGTGGAGAGGTGCTATACATGGCTATGCTAGATGATTACCATTAACTTGTACCCTTAGTACACAGGGTTTGTGAGAGGTGCACCCTAAACCCTAAACCCTAAACCCTAACGCCAGAATTAAGCCGCGAAGCCCAGATTTTTTTCAGCTGTCCGAGCACTGCGATTGGTTTTTCAAAAGAGCAGGGTCGGTCCAAGCCCTCGAAGCACCGCATGCCCGCAAAAACCCTCAATCCCCGAAACCCTGAACCCCAAGACCCGTAATACGCCCTTTTCATACTCCACGGAAGACTAGCATAGAGAGTTTAGGGTTTAGTAGTTTAGAGCTTAGGGTTCGCTAGGTTTGACCCTTCGAAAATCCCAAGAGCCCGGCCAAGGGAGCGAGCCTCAAGCACAGAGTGAGCCCATCGAAGTTGACGGCGCTGGCTTACCACCGCAGGGGCGCCACGCCGCTGATGCGCCTGGACTGCAAGGTAGGTTGGAGGACATAGCTGTTTTGTTGAGCCACCCTGAGTGTTTGGGTTTTGGGTGCTTTTACGTTGGCGCTTGAGGCTTGCATTTTGGGGGAATAGGTTAAGCATTGATTAAGAAAAACCTTCAGCTATGGAGGTGTGACTTTGTGAGACCTAGGTCGAACTCGTTTGAAAGGGGTCGGAGCGAGAACGAAATTGGATTTGGTAGAAGTTTGCAGATCGTTATTATAATGTTATTGTGTTCTGCTACGGTCAACAAAACTCTATGCCACTCCTAGTCTCCTCAGTCTGCGCCAGATAACTAGTAGACTTGCAATCTGACCATGCCACCCAGTATACACTTCCTTGCAGTGGGTAGACAGCTGGAGCCATTGATCGTATGTATGCATGTATGTATTTGTGTACAATGTGATTTTATCGTAGTGTGATGATATGTGCAGCAGTGCTTCCAGCATAGTGGAATGTCAAATACATGAACGGAATTGGGCGGAATGGAATGTAGTGCACTGTAATGTGTGTTCTGTATGCTACGCATGCATGTTATGCTATGCTGTGCATGCATGTATGTATGTAACCATGTATGCAGGCAGCTAAGTAAGCATATATGTACGTATGCATGTAGTAATGTAATGCTGGGTAATGCAATGTAAAGTAAGTACGTATGTATGTACGAACGTACGTATGAATGGCTGTATGTATGTATGTACGTATGTGTGAGCATTGCATGTATGCATGCATGCAGTTTTGTGTGTGTGTGTGTGTTTGCAATTATTTTTGTTAGTTGGTGCTTCTGTTTGTATGTTTGCCTGCCTGCATTTATGCAGGGATGTGTGTATGCGTGTATTCTAGAATGCAAGTATGCGTTTATGCAAGTATATATGTGTGTATGTGTACGTGTATGTGTTTATGTCTGTCTGTGTATGTATATGTATGCATGCATTTATTTACGTATTTGCGCGTGCATGTGTGTATGTTTTTGTGTATGCATGTAAGCATGTAAATGGTATGTCTGGACCAATATGATGTATGTATGCATTTATGTAAGCAGAAAGGTGGGTCGGCAGGTCGGTAGGCTGTCGGTCGGTAGGTATGCACCTATGTGTACGTATGCATGCGTGCATGCCTATACAGTTTGGTTTGCTCTAAGCTGTTCTGGACTGGCCATGGCACAGCATTGCATGGTATGCCATGGTATGTGTGTGTGTGTGTGTGTGTTTGTGTGTGCACCTGTGCCTGTAGGTATAATAGCATGGCTGTAGAGAAGCTGACTTCAGAGAAGGTCGTGCTAGTGGTGCAGCGGTATTTGTAGCAGAAGTGCCAACGGTTCCGTTAATAACAGTATGAAGCGGCTGGCTCGAGTACTTCAAAGCGTAGTGTACATGCAGCTATGCCTTCAACTAAAGCAAACTACTGGTGTCTTGATGTTTACAACAGTGCCTCTGCTGATGCTACCAGAGCCTCAACCCTACATTCAAGCAACATGTCCAAGGATCGAACAGCTGGAAATCCGCAGCTACCCCGATAACACCCCAAAGCCAGTTGATTCCGAAGCACCAACCAGAGGAAGCAGCTCAACCGCAACCAAAGACCGCACGGTTCAGAGGTGCCGGCTATGGGTGATGGTACCTCTTAGTATATAGTGACAGCTCTTCTCAAGACCTGATGCCCCAAGCTAGATTCTGAAATGCACCGGATCTTCGGGATCTTGGTGCAGGACCTCTTAGCGCGTGTACAAATGTAGAAAGGGTGTTCAGGGTGAAGGCTTCGAGGTTTCGACTTGCAACTAACAGCGCGCGAAGGTCAGAAACGGAACGAAGGTTTGGGACACCCCGAAACTCCCGGAGAGCTCTCTTCCCAGACCTTCCAAAATCCCTTAATTAAGGAATATACCTTAAATCATATTAGGGACCTTACTATAATTTAAGGTATATTCCTTAATTAAGGGATTTTGGAAGGTCTGGGTCCCTTGATATCAGGTTTAGTATCCTGTCGGGATACTTCGAAGCAGCGACAGTGCTTCTTGCAGCGGGGGCAGTATTCACTCAGCAGTGCCTTGCAGCGGAGCTTATGGCATAAGCCTTAGGCTTTGGCATGTCAACGTGGGCTTCTGGCAAGATCAGCATCGAAGCAATTTGCGCATGACCACCTCTCTTGTTGGTGGCTAGTTATGCAGTATACAGTGTACATACCACAACCCGTGGTTGAAACTTATGGTGCACGAAGACGAGAATTATCAAACGTAAGTAAATATCCCAAAAAAGGACGTGCGAATATGTTCGTGCAGTTGATGTTGTCCTTGGTACTTGCATGTCCATCCTTCGGCCACCAGTCTACCCGATGAATTCCTAAATCCAAAGCCTGACACCTGACACCTGTCTTCGGCTGTCTTCCTCAGACCTCGGCATGTCAGGACGCATGTCAGTACCTTTGGTCAGTAGGGAATGGAAGAATGGTAGTAATAGTAGTTATAGTTATACCCCATTCCTCCATTCCCAACTAACTCGATCCAAAAGGTAAGTTAAGGGTCGGAGCTTCAGCACTTCTGCTTAGTGTCCTACGATGCACTCAGCTGCCACTACAAGTACACAACTATATATGTATGTAGATTTACCTGTACTTTATGCACATATGTGTTTCGAGCCATAAGGGTCTCGCATGAATAGGTTGGATCTTTTTGAGTGTAATGACGGCTTAGGGCTTCAGGGCTTTAGGCAACTGAGCTCTTTGGCTGGCTGATGTTAAGAGTCTTGAGGGTGCTTCTCGTTTTCTCGCCTTCGGTTCAGCAATTTGGAGAAGCCTTTAGTATAGAGGTGCCCGCTTATCAGGTCTTGTTCCAGTACATCCCAAATCCCTGCTCTAGCTGTTCGGTACCCTGAACCCAAACCGTAAGCCCTAAACCCTAAAACCCTGAACCCTAAACCCGTTTGACCCTGGCTCTCCAGACATGCGGCCCCAGAGATCTAGAAACCTAAACCTTAAGCCTATCTAGAGGCTCCATAGTAGTTCCTTTTTGTGGTCCATATTTATGTGGAGCCTATGGGTAGACCATGCGCCCTAAACCCTAAACCCCGAAATTGAGGAACAGCCGGAGACGCACTGCGCTGGACATGGCCCGTGACACGCTTGCTCCCGCCATGCTCATGCGGAGCTTGGTGAAGTGCAAGCATGACAAAGTGTAGTATCCCCTAAACCCTATAGACCCTAAGCCGTATCATTCAGGGCGTAGGGATTTAGGGTTCGAGGCTCACAGGGTTTAGGTTTCAGCTCAGGTGTTGTTACTGACGTGAGAGCACGCGGCGATCACAGATGCCCCTTTAAGCCATCAAGCTGGTAGTTTTTGTCTGAAAGTATCCTAAGATAAAACAGGTCACTCCGAGAGGGCTTGCAATGGAGAATACAAATAGGCTGCGTTGCGCAGATTCGTGGTTGCGATACGCCCTATCGTGAATTGTCCTTTGTTTGGTCACACTTTTTCAGGTATCCCGGCCCCACTTCCGATATCGCTAAGCACGTTATGGGGATTTCATGGTGGCAGGAAAGGATCTGTGATTTATGAAGACAGTGTTTAGACAGAGACCGATTGGCCCAAGTCCGCCATTGCATTATTAATTCGATGCCTTCCAGGTTTGAAAGTTTTCAAGAGTTTCCTCCTGTGGTGCACGGAACCACTGTGTGCCGTCTTTCGAAAAGGCCACAGCAAGGGAGAGACTCCTCGAAGTTGCGTCGCTGTCCGCATTGCATGAGTTACCGGCTTTTTGCGGGGTTCCGACGCAATTGAACCATGTAAAGTTGGCCATATCCACCAGAGTCAGATGGGCTCTGTTTGTGGTATTGCCTGGTATTGTATAGTGTCGTAGAGGCCGGCACCGTGGTTATGATCCACATCCGTTTGTATGGGTGTGGCGTTTAGGATTTCTGATCTTCGTGCTTACTCGTGTTTGATATTGCTCACGACAGGCTTACTGTTGCTCACTCAGGTTGATGGATCAAACTACTGCGAGACGTGGCCTTTTTAAGTTTTGACATGATTCTGAACTCATGTGATGTGGGTCGTTGGCAACATCTACACCTTTGCTGGAGAATCACAAAACACACTCTGGAAAGTGGCACTCACAAACTGCGTGGCAAACCCCACAAGGCTCTATTAATATCAACAGAACGACTTCAAGCAAAATGTCAACGACTCCTGTGTGGATACTCGGCTGCTCACAGCTTATGCAAGGGCGCAGCTACAGCACCGCAGCTGAATGTCTTCAGTAGGAGTGAAGAGTAAGGCTGATAAGAGTTTCGCACTCATCGATGCTGAGGATGGCTCCTGTAGGCATGGACGAAACTAGTTGTTACTGTCGTTCTATGGTTTAGAATGCATGCAAATGTTACGGTCATTTTAACAAACCCCCCTCCCCCCCCTGAGGTTGCTTTGCGCGGGGGTGTCTTGGGGCAGGTTTTGGGGTCAGGGTGGTAATAATAGACGTTCGGCCGTGTCCGGGGATTGTAGTACTAGTAGTACTAATAGTAATAATAGTAATAGTAGCAATAGTAGTAATAGTAGTAAAGGCTCTTAGTTTCAGCTTTTGCTTGTTCCTTAGCCTGGATCCTAATTTTTGTTGGGGATTTGGGGCCCGAATATTTTGATTGTCACCCCTGAAATTATTGCGACACCCCCTTTTAACATCAGTTGGTTGGACAAATTCACCCGCAATTAAGACTCCTCTTCCGCCCGGATATTCGGCCCCTGGGAATTTTTACATTGTCACCACCTTTGAATACAATGACCATTACAGCTCTGATAGCAATACAGACAAACTGCACGGTCATAGCATCATGAGCTGTAGTGGCGGTAACATCTGTGTAGTCGCTGTGGTGGCATAAGTAGTGGAGGCGTGCAGGTGAGAGTAGGAGTAGGATTACGAGCAGGAGTACGAGTAGGAAGAACGGGCGAGAGGTAGGGGTAGGGGCATCAAGACAAGAAGGAGTACGGGCAGGCGTAGGAGAAGTAGTAGGGGTGTAGACGCAGCAGTAACAGGGTGAAGTAAGTAAGTTGTGGCACGCAGGCAGTCAGGCAGCGGAGCGAGGCCGGGAGGTACACAGGCACACAGGCAGGTAGGCTCAAGTGGGGAGCACGGGTGAGAACAAGAGCAACAGTAGCGGAGGCAGGAGGAAGAGTGCATCGAGTTGGACATCAGATGGTACAAAGCTGCGAGTTGCGTCTTCAGATTGGTTTCCCCCTTAATTACTCCAGTTTGTTTGTGATCCCACTGCGACTTGCGACTGGTCCTGTGCAAACTCATCTCAAACATTCACACATGAATCTTTCTATTGAGGTACCTGTTGCTCCAGTGTTCCTCTTGTTCCTACTACCTGCTACATGCTGCCGAGATGATGGCTTGCTACATAGACATAGACATAAACATAGATGTTCCCCTTTCTTCTATTCTGCTCCCATGATCGTCAGATCTCATCGTTCTTGCAGACGCGTCAGCTCGGAGAGCCCCGACAAATATAGCAGCCTGAATTAGTAATTACCAATGGTGTTCCTTAGGGCCCCAAACCCTCAAATTATTAATGGTTTAGGGTTTATAAGATTTAGGGTTTAGGGTTTAGGGACATTAGTGATCTGAGTGCAACTGTTGCCCACTGCAATGACTGCCGAGATGCCCGGTTTTGCTTGCCGTCTTTGACGCCACATCGAGATCCTTGTCTCCTTTTCTTCCTATACAGTCCCAAGTGTGAGAACCCAAGCCGCATGGCACAGAAAAGGTGAAACAGAAGGATCGTTCGAGCAGTCAGACCTGCGAGATCTGCATGACTCCCCCTAGGGCTCCGGATACTTAAATGATTGGTTAATTACTAAACTAACTATATACCCCAGTAGCCAAAAAATAAACCCAGTAACCCATTATTTTGGGCAACTGGAGCCCTATACTCCATGACATGACCCTGAAACCTTGCGTTGACTCGTCAGCGAGTCACAGAGGCGGGAGAAAATTTGCGAAAGGGACGTGCGTTGAGGTTGTGGTCCGTGGCTCAGCCTGGACTCAGGGTGCTGATATCGCGATCCTCTGAAGCGGGCCCAAACGAAATTTGAGGGAGGGGGGTTGGGGGGGGCAACGCCAGCACAACCAGACAAAGAACTACAGTACCCAGATTCTTCTAGACGTGTCTTGTAACTATACCGGCTGGAATCAGGAACCGATCCGTTGTCACATTGCGGCCAATCATCGCGATGCAGCACATGTCAATGCCAGTTCGCCAGGCAAGCCGAATGGATAACTCACGCCTGATTCACGCGAACATGACAAAACCAGTTTCAGCTGTCAAAGAACTTGAATCCGTCCTACAAGAACCCTCCATGGCAACACTTCGAATTTCGATCGAGTACTTATGGCCGGTCAGACTGCTCGAAGCATCTAGTCTCAGCATCGCAGGTTTCATAGGTCCCAGGATCTAGATGGATATCGGAGGCCTTTCAGGGCGTTGCCATTGGCAGGATCTTGTATCGCTGGCCTTTCGATGATGACCTTCAATGCAATAGTTAATACATTAAGCTGACTCGAGAGTGCGTTCTATGTGTTTCTTCGCTGGGTTCTTGTTGAGGAACTTGATTCAAGCTGCCCCAATAGGCACTAATGCATTTCGAAGATTCTGGCAACTTAGATTACGGCCCTGAAGCCCCCGGGCCCTAAACTTGAACCCTGAACCCATAGGCCGCATAGTAGTTCCTTTTAGGGATTACCGTATAGGATTCGAAATATGAACCTCGAGAAGGCACTACTATGGGCCCTATGGGTAGAGCCTAAACCCTATAAACTCCCTAAACATCCCTGAACCGGCCTACCTAAACATCCCTAAATAAACTCTAAGCCCCTTAACCCAAAAAAGGAACTACTATGGGGGCTAGCCTACTTGGAGGGTCGGGGGACTTAGTAAGTAGGTAGTAAGTAGGCTTATAAGTGACCTAAAGGGGACCCTAATTGGGGTTATAGTACTTATAAGTCCCTAAAATAACCAGTTACTAAGTCCCCCGACCCTCCAGGTAGTACCCTTATAGATCCCTTATAGTAGCCCCTATAGACCCCTTTAAAAGGAGCCCTTCCAAGGATCCTTTAAGTACCTAGAGTAGAAAAGCACTGGGCTGCCGATGCCGATGGATGCGCTGCCTCTGCCATGGTCGACCCGCCACTTGCACCTGGCCGGGCTCTGATGGAGCGTTCCTTAAAAAGGATCTAGAAGGGTTCCTTCAAAGGGATCTATAAGGGTTCCTTAAAAGGGATCTATAAGGGTTCCTTCAAAGGGATCTAGAAGGGTTCCTTAAAAAGGGATCTAGAAGGGCTCCTTAAAAGGGATCTAGAATAGGGATGAGGGATTAGGGTTTCGGGTTTAGGATTTACCCATAGCGGGTACCTAGAGGCTCCATAGTAGTTCCTTTTTTGGGTTTAGGGGTTTAGGGTTTATTTACGGATTCAGGGCTTAGGGAGTTTATAGGGTTTAGGGGTTTAGGGTTTACCCATGGGCCCCATAGTAGTTCCTTTAAGGGCTTCATAATTACAATCCAAGAAGGTAATCCCCAAAAGAACTTCTATGGGGCCTATGAGTAGGGGCACAGTTCAGGGCTATCGAGGAGCCTTCACAATTACCGACAGTATTGCTTCGAAAGAATGAATCTAACTCCTGAGAGGGCCTGGAATATGCAGCACATGAAAGATCCGAAGAGTGTCTTGTTCACAGCGAACATCTCAGTACCAGAAACTCCGCAGACAACCCTAAGCCTAAGCATATATATCATAAGAATGGCATGGCAATGATGATGCAGATCGTAAACCGTGGAACTAAAGCCCAGGTACGTATACATCCGAAATCGTAAACGCTAAACCCCTAAGTACCAAATCATGTTCGAATCTGAAGGCTACCGCCCTTTTGCTCTTCGTCCCCGAGACGGAGGCACTCCCATGTCACCGAGTTATCGTGGTTGGGGGTTTACCTATACTCTTCACTGTGGTTCCTTGTGTGGGGCTTTAGACGGTTTTAGGGTTTCGGGCTTCTAGCGTTTGGGGTTGTGGAAAAAATGCTCTAAAAATGGGTTCGTGGCTGGGGTGTTCAGGGCAGCCAGACAGTTCTGGAAGGGGAGCCGAAGCGCGGAAGGGAGTTCGAAGCGATGTTACTTTTTTGAAAACACTAAAAAACCTTTAAGGCTCTTGGAGACTTTGTTACTTTGTTCCTTTTTTGGTTCCGGTCTTCTTTTATAGGGGTCTCCGAAAAAGTAGTTTTTTGCTTACCTTCCAAGGGGAGTAGAGAAACGGGTTTCAGGTTTCAGGGACTGAAAACCCCCGCAGCTCTTGACAAGGCCAGACCGTCACGTCGCTCACGAGGGCGGCTGCTGTCCAACAGCACCAGCTCCAACGAGAGCAGCACCACAGTGCCCTGATTGCGAGCAGAGGCTTCAAGAAAGGGGTATAATTACTTAAAGGATCATGGGACTTAGTAACTAGGGTTATAATTAGGGTAACTATACTTATAACCCCAATTAGGGAACTTAGAACCTTGCTTGCTAAGTCCCATGATCCTCCAAGTAGAGTAGGTTTTGGGGTGAAGAAATTTGAGTATGTCCATAGTAGGGGAGCCTCAGGAACAGTATTCCTATTTTTTCAGGATTCTATATTGTTATATAAGGCCGACATCACAGGAGTCGGGGCTCGAGGGCCATGTAGTTTCTAGGCCGATATGATTCCATGATGGCCGGTCGAGGGTAGCTTCGGGGAAGGCTCTTTAGTGCAGGGCCCTAAACCCCAAACCCCGAACCCCTACACCCAACACCCCTAAACCCCTAAACCCTAAACTACACCCAACACCCCTAAACCCTCAACCCAAGCGCAGCTATCAGGGTGTCAGCTTAGGGCTTATATAGGGTTTGGGCTCGGAGACTTGAGGGTGTATGTCCACAACTCGACGTCGTTGAGTGCTCGATAGAAACAGACCATGATCCAACCTTAGGGGTACTTAATTTTTTTTTTGGTTAATATAATCCCTAAGAAACAGCTAAAAGTGCAATTTTCGCTAGGGCTCTAAGTTTAGTATAGCAACCCCCACAACCATCCAGAACTAAACCCTGAAAGCCCTGAATCATCATGGCTGTAAAGCTCCTATACCCTTCCAGGTGCCGAGAACTGCAGCCGAAATTCGAAACACTAAACCCTTCAGGTATGTACCTACCCCGTCCCCCGCCACAAAGCCGTAGATTTCCAAGACATGCTCCCTAAACTCCCAGACTCTACGCCCCTGCACCCCGCCAAACGCGGCAATCCCAGAACTGCCCGAGACACTTGAACATGTCCGACCGAAACCCTAAACTTCTAAACTTCTAGACCCCGACACCCTGCAAGCCCCTAACTCAAACTCCAAGAACCTATAGTTCCAAATCCCGTAGAAGTAGTTTGTAATATACCCCCCAAACCCTATTATTCTAATTAATTACGAAGTCCCCAAATCCCGTAAAGCCCCCCAGCTTCCGAGACATGCACCACCGAAGCCGTGGCCTGGGTCCCGCTGGAGCCTCGCAAGGACGACCGGGCGAAAGCAGGGCATGCATACATACTATAGGGATGTATACAGTAGAAGCCAGAAAGTTGGAACATGGCTTTTGGAGGATTAGTGCTAGGATCCCTTATACTTTACCTTAGGGGCATGAGGATAATGATGTTCCAACTTTCTGGCTTCTGCTATAGGGGCTTGAATAGTTACTTTTTTGAGGGGGGAGGGGGAGGGGGCTCCTTGTCATAACTCTAGCATAGGAGGAAGGCATAGGTAGGTACGGTATGCACGTATGTAGGCATGTATGACTGAAAGAATCTCGTGTTTGTTTGGGGCTTGAGACTTGCCTGTTGAGGCACAGGCTCGGGTGTACTTGTCCTAAACCCTAGCCCCATCCTGGCCCTAAGGCCTCACCCGAAAATCTAAATCCTGAATCTTCGAGCCCTATTACCCATAGGCCCCAAAGTAGTTCCTTTTTGGGATTACCTTATAGGATTTTATATATGAGCCCCAAAAAGGAACTACTTTGGGGGCCTGTGGGAAATATAAACCCCAAACTCGAGATTCCATTACTAGGCACCCCCGGCCGCCGAAAGCACCGTGGGGCCTGCCTGAGTGCCGTGGGCTGATAGCGTGGAGTAACATCGAGTTTGGGGTTATATGGGGCTTATAGTAGGAGCTTAGGGTTTAGGGTTTAGGAGTTCAGGGTTTTGCGTTTAGGGTTTAGGGGTTTAGGGTTTAGGGTTTTTACTGGTTTGTTGTTATTTGCTGTTTCCTCCAACATCTTGAGTGCTTATTGTTTCATTCCGGGTTTAGCGACCATGCCTGGTGATTCAGGTGTCGGGAACTAGAATCCGAGACTTCAACGCCAATGCACGAGCCTCACCCGCAGCAACTAGGAACAGTCTTTCCCAGTGCTGTTTTCATTATAATCACAGCAGAGCACCCAGTCAAACCCTACTCTAATGTTCCCCTAAACCCCAAACCCTAAACCCTTAAACGCTAAACCCCTGAACCGAAACCCTAAACCCCTAAACCCCTAAACCCTCTACCCTAAACCTTACAAACCCTAAACCACTAAACTCTAAACCCCAAACCCTTAGCCCTTAAACCTGAACCCTAATTCTACAAATCCCTAAACCCCTAAATCCCAAACCCCTAAACTCTAAACCCTAAACCCCTATAAACTCTTAAAACCCTAGACAAACCATGTGACCTCGCAGTTGCTGAAGACAAGGAGCTACAAAACAAACACAAAAAACAAGAAACAAGCCCTGACTCCAGGAGATGGAGTTCGACCTCGTCGCTGTGCTCAGTGCCTTGGTAGAAGAAACCCTCGGCGCCGAGGTGAGTTTCAAGTTTCATTGGGTTAGGGTATTTGGTTTAGGGGTTTAGAGTTTCGGGTTTAGGGTTCAGGTTCATAGCTGAAGCTTAGCGAACTACCAACAGTATTCCACAGGGCTCAATGTACCCCGAAGCCCCTGTTCTAATCATGCATGCCGCTATATTCGCATGTTTCGGCTCTCGACAAACCTTTAGGCCCGAATTGGGGGGTTTAGGGCATGTAGAACTCAGGGTTCTGAGGTCTCGCGATTCAGGGGCTGAAGTGTTCAGAGTTACTGTAGGTGCGTAAATAATCGGCAATACTATTTTGGGGGCTCCTTAATACAGTTATAGTATAATGGGCTCCAAAACCGTGTTCTAATTATTATTGAGGGCCTTATACTAAGCCCTTATAGTAGCTCTTATAGCATCCCTGAAAGGAGCCCTTTAAAGGAACCCTGTTCTCATGATTTTCAGGGTTATGAGTTATTGTTGGCTCCAGGCCAGTCGATTTGGGACCTCCAAAGCACAGAAGCATCCGCACTTTCTAGGGATATCCCTACCTTATAGGGCTTCGTTATAAGGGGGGGGTTGTATGGGAGATCCCTCCCTAGCCTTCTTTTTGCTTATGTGCGTTTTTGGGTACATATTAGAAAGACCAGGCCTCCAGGAGTGGCAAGAGTTTTGAAACCTCAGCACCCCAGAATCTGCTAAACCCTAAACCCTTACCCTAAAGAATGCTTTTAGGAGCATAGGACCAACCCCGAAACCCTAAACCCAGCCATTGCACTGCAACAAAGACCCAGGCCCTTAACCCTACTATGCTTTTCTTCTTTTCACCCCAAACCTCTAAACCCTGAACCCCGAGCCCGAATCCTTAAAACCTTAAAACCTGAACCCTTAAGCCCTCGAAGTCTATTGGCCCTGGGCTTTTCCAGGTGGTCCCTTTGCACCCTTGCGGACCCTTCCAGAACAGCTTAATATAGGGGCCTAGATGATTACCTATTATACTATCTTGGGAGGTTCCTTTCTATAGTTGTGGTATAATGGGCCCCCGCAACTCTGTTCTATTATTAAGGCCCCTGTATCAAGTACTCTTGATCCATACTTCGAGGTGGTATGGCCGTCGGAGTGGTTTCGATGATCATCTTGTTCGGCCCGGCACTTACATGGCTCTCCTTGGGAAGTGTGTCTAGTTAATCACCTGGGTTTTGAAAAGAGAGTAGTTTTGTAGGACTCTTCCATGGACCCTTTTCTGCAGTGGTTGCAAAATCCGAGGCATTGTGAAACAAGTGTTGTTGTTTTGCGTATGGGTCAAAGTCCAAGGAGCTAGAAACTGCCTGGAGGAAAAGGTGCCCCGCACTCATGCCTGTGTTCTGGTCTTGCAGAGCCCAGATGCGCGATTCGAGAGCTAGAGGTTTCCAACATACCACTACGAGGACTCGTAAGTGAAGTTCCGGACCGCTTCCTTCCGACGATCTGCAGGACATCACCCTAAATTAAAACCCCTAAACCCTAAACCGGCCCCTAAACCCTAAACCGTTTAGGGTTCGCCGGTTCTGATAACCACCGTCCCCCCCGCCACCCCCCCGCCCCCCGCAGTCCTCCGGAGCTCCCGGCTGCCTCAAGGCTTGGACTCTTAGGTCTACCTACCTATGGGTGGTTGTCAAAATTAGGGTCCCTTTTTGGGTCCTTATTATAATACGGCACCTAATATTTAGGGTACCCAAAAAGGGACCATAATTTTGACAACTACCCCTATAGTCTCCATTGTAGTTCCTTTTTGGGGTTACCTTATAGGATCCCAAATTATATATTTGGTTGAAGCAAAACAAGGAGCTACAATTGGAGACTATGGGTAGGACGGTGGGATCTTAGGCAACTTGTGGGTTTAGGGTTTAAGGCATTGTATGACTTTAGGCTTTTGGTTTCTGAAGGATTTAGGATGTTCAGTGGCTTCAGGGCCACATGAAGGCTTCAGGATGTTATGCGTCCTTAGGGAAGTTTGGGGTTTAAGGGATATTGACACCGATCGCCACCTGAACCGCCGTCCAGAAGCATAGCTTCAAAACAACTCCGAAGTGTTCAATCAATATAGGTGCCTCAGTAATTACGTATACTATTTTGGGGGGCTCCTTATTACAATTATAGTATAATGGGCCCAAAAACCTTGTTCTAATTACTAAGGGCCCCATATTACCTATCTGCCAAAATGGTCCAGACAGATTACTATTATGGAATTAGCCGCAAAAGACCTTCCTAGTAATGGTTTTGAGGAGACCTAATTGCATAATGGTAGAGTATGTGGACCCTGTGGGATAGTATATACTAGGCCTTTGAGGGGATCCTGCATAGGTGTTGTGCTAAGTATATACTGTATTGGCGCGTGGAGCCTTGGGGTAGGGAACACGAGCTGAAACGTGTGCATAAGCCCCAAAACCCTTCTTGGCCCTAAACCTCTGCAACAATAAGCTGGGTCCTAGGACCTTGTTGATTCCTTACAGCAGCTCCTACGCAATACCCTTTGTCAACCCCTAAAGGGCCCCAGAGCCTAAACCCCAAGTCCTGAGCCCTAAACCCGATAAGCCGCAAACAACATACCCTAAACCCAGAACCCTGAAGCTTAAAGCCCTGTTGATACATCCCTTTAAGTTTTTAAGGGACTCTTTAAAGAACCCTCCTAAACCCCAAACTCTAAACCCAGAACCCTCGACTCCCCCCAAAGGACCCATCTGCAAGGCATCCACAAGCTCATCCTCCATCTGCGAGCCCGAGGGCACGGCGATGTGCGCTACCAAGTCTGGCATGGTCTTTAGGGGTTTAGGGTCTTTAGGGGTTTAGGGTTTGAGGGTTTAGGGTTTGGGTTTTGAGGGTTCAGGTGTTTATAAGGTTTAGGGTTTGGGGGTTTGAGGGTTTAGGGGTTAATTAATGGTTTGAGAGTTTAGGGTTTTAGGGTTTTAGGGATCTTTAAAGTGTGGAACTACATTGCCCGCATGCCCTCCAAGTTAAAGTATAGAGTATCTCAGCACAAATCATCTTAAGTCCATGTTCCAACTTTCTGGGATTCACAATAGAGTTTGCCCATGTTTAAAGTAACCCTATGAAGCCTGTCTTTTCCGAGCAGGGCTCCTTCTTTTGAGTGTTTTTGTGAAAGGGTTCTACAAGGCGTGGGTTATCGACTGGGGGTTTCGGGTCGACTACTACGGTCAGGGGGTGGGTTCTTGTGGCTTTGAACTTCCTTCAGTTTGGCTTCGGGAAGAGGTTCGGGGCTTGAAGCTTGATTTGGGGTTTGGGGCTGTATGCTTCATACAATGTCACAAAAGGACGGCGTCTTCCTGCGCGTCAGCTAATATTGAAAGCTATGCTAATATGTAAAGGCTCATACCCTACCCCTTTTTAGGATACCTAGTTTTATGGTTACATAATCAGGATCTGTTATATAGAATATTAGGTACCTTAAAGGAATTGAGCCTCTTGGTATGGCGTCACCCACACCAGGGCGTCTGGGTGGGCAGCTTCAGTGTTGGGACAGCCCGTTGCAGGCCGAGTAGCGCTTGAGGGTTCAGTTCTACTGTACTGTAATGTCGGAACCTGATTATGAAACCCTGGGCCAATAACCCCAAAATAGTCGGGTGCAAATAAGGAACCCTAATGAAGGCCCAAGGTTTCTGAATCAGGTTCCTACAATGCGGAATCAGCTAGGAAAGAACGCAGGCTGTTATGCGAGTGCACTCATGGGCCACGTGAGTGAGCATGAGTATTGCTCTGAGGCATTTTGAACAGCAGCCCTCAACCCTACAAGCCCTAATTAATGCTGACCGCAGCTTTGTCCCAAGACCTCAAGACCCAGACTCTAAGCCATGAGTGCCAGATCCCTCAACATCAGGTCATGCAAGGATTCCAGTCTTTGCTGAAGTAACAAGCAACCCTAAACCCCAACCCCTAGCCGCTAAACCCTAAACCCCCACCCCCAGTGACAGGTCATGCAAGGATTCCATTCTTTGCTGAAGAAGCGTGAGACAAAGCACGCCCCGCCGGAAGTGCTCGTAACACCGGAAGTGATCGTGAAACCGCCGCAGGACAAAGAGTGACAAGTGCCCGAACCCTGAACTTATTATAGGGGCCTAAATAGTTACCAAAACTGTTTGGAGGATTCCTTATCTTTTAAAATATTTATAGTAGTATATCGGGCCCCAACACCCTATTCTATGTATTAAGGCCTTTGCATCACGTACCATCTAAGGGGGCCAGAGTAAAACTGTGTGAATCCATTGGCACAGTTGTTTTTGGCCAGAGGGATTGGAGAGAGAATCACATGGCGAGGTGCCGATGATTGTGAGTATCTAGGAGTTCGTTTTAAAGCGCCCTCCCGAAGCCCTTAGCCTTAGCCCTACAGCCCCAGATCCAAGAAGAAGCTTACAACTCGATGTACGTAAAGAACGACGGGCTTAGTAAGTACTCCAGGGATAGCTTTCTTTAAGACTGCGATTAAGGGTTCAAAAAGCTTGTTGCGAGGGTTTCTAGACCCGACAGCCTAAAACCTACGATCTCCCCCCAGATTACCAACTCAGTAGGAGCTTAGGGTTCAGGGTTTAGGGTTTAGGGCTGAGGAGTTTAGGGTTCAGGGGTTTAGGGCTGAGGAGTTTAGGGTTTAGGGGTTTAGGGTTTAGGGTTAGAGTCTGTTTAGGGTTTAGGGTTTTACTAGACCAGGGGCTGCTTCAGGCCGCCGAAGTAAGTTGAAAGAGCCCCCAAGTGCTTGGACTGCGGCGGTTTCACTTCGTAGGACCAGGCTGCTGAAAAGTCATACAGGGGCCTGAATCAATACAATTACCAATACTATTTTGGCGGTTCCTTATTATAGTTGCAGTATATGTGTAATGGGCCCCAAACCCCTATCCTAACCATTAAGGCCCCTATCTTATGGTAAGCTTATAGATCCTGTATAGTAGCCGGTAACCTTATAGATCCAGTATAATAGTATAGTAGCCCTGATAGACCCCTTAAAAGGGAACCTTATTCTAGCTATTCAGGCCCCTGTATCATGTCGCGGCCATCGCTCGAAGCCCAGCCATCCTACAGGGGTTTAGGGGTTTAAGGTTTATGGGTTTAGGGATTCAGGGTTTAGGGTTTAGGGGTTTAGGGATTAAGGGTTTAGGAGGTTAGGGATTAAGGGTTTAGGGTTTAGGGCTTAAGGGATTAGGGATTGAGGGTTTAGGGATTAAGGGTTTAGGGTTTAGGGGTTTAGGGATTAGGGGTTTAGGGTTTAGGGGATCAGGGGTTCAGGGTTTAGGGGATCAGGGGTTTAGGGGATCAGGGGTTCAGGGTTTAGGGGATCAGGGGTTCAGGGTTTAGGTTTCCTAAACCCGAAACACCGAACCAGCCAGTAGCAGATATCGAGGTGCTAGGGTCTAGGTCGGTAGGTTGGTTTAGGGTTTAGGGTGCTGTCTTTCAGAAATTCACTTCGCAACGAGTTTATACAGTAGAGCAATCCACTGTGCAGGTTATTCTTGCCAGAGCAACCTGTGAAGATAGCTTAACTTCTATACCCGGGGATAACTTACCTTGTCAATGACACACATATACGCGCATCATCATACAGAATCCGAAGAAGGTAGGGTTTTATAGGGTGCAGGTAGGGCTTGATAATGTAGATCTGGCACCTGCAAAGCAGGTCGTGAGCTTCGCCTTCGCAGAAAAAGATGCTGTCATCGCGAAGCCCCCAACCTCCACCCTCAAGCCTTAACTCTAAACTCGCGCAAGAACCTCAAGCTCCCACCCCCTAAACCCTAAAAGCCCTAAACCGCTCCTGGAAGCATGGGGGGGGGAGGGGGTTATCCCAAAGGGTCATGTCACTTAAAGTGTACATAGTCCGGCCGTGAAGTCCCACAGAGCAAAGCATGTATTGCATGAATACAGCGACCTTCGGGCCTTGGAGGGCCAAATAGACATGTCTGTATGCATGTGTGTTTGTGGTTTGTCATGTGCGTGTGTGCATGTGTGCAGGTATGCATGATGTATGCCTGTGTTTGGTTTGCATGTGTGTGCGTGGGTTCATCTGTACATACATATATATATATATATATGTATATGCGTGTGTGTATGCATACATGCAGCCGTATGTATGCATGTATATGCATGTATGGATGTACGGATGTATGTATGTGTGTGTGTGTGTGTGTGGATACCTGGACCTTGGGGGCCTGATAAGTTTGGCGGTGAATTTGGATAGCGTACTTGATGTCTTGAACTGGTCCTGCTATGCTGTCTTTTCGTGAGCGGGGGAGGGAGGGTGTTCCAGTGTTCCGGCTTTGCATTTGTAACATTTGACCTGAGCAGTCACGACCTAGAAGTGGATTCCCGCACAGCCTGTTAAAAATGACAGAATCTCCCGATAGGCCCCATAGTAGTTCCTTTTTGGGGTTCATGTGAGGTAAACCCCAACAAGGAACTACTATGGAGCCTATGGCCTATGGGTAAACTTAATTCCCACCCATTCAGCACTCCATAGTAGAGGGGATCCCTTGCAGATGAACGAGTGCTGTATGCTCCTTTGGCTTTGGTGTGTCGAGCTTGTTATTGTCTTCAATTTGTCTGTATATTGTTGCATTGTCTTGTAGCGTCGTCAGGTATAACAGACTCCTATATTGTCTGTCCTTTTCTGCGATTTTCGTACACAGCCGCAAGACGATTTGTAGTTATTCTTCTGGCTTCCCAAGGTGCAGGTATGTTTGGGTGTCTATTCCGGCGTGCAGCGATGACAACCTTACACTCGGATACCTTCTGCCAAAGCTTGATACAAAGCTTTCGGATGTTCAGTGATGCACAAGCCCCAAAGGCCGACAAACGTTAAACTCAAACATACTGAGACCCGTCACAAAACGTAGTTGGCACACCCATGTAAAGACATCGTAGACCACCGAGCCCATCATGATCCAGCCAGTCCTAATCCCTAAGCCCTAGAGTCCCTAATGCATAAACCCTAAACCCCAAATGCCTAAACCTCAAGACCCTAAACCCTGACACCCTAATCCTTGAACCCTAAACCGCTCAGTGCCGCAGGTTGATGATCCACAAGGGCTTTGTGAGCCTGCCGGCCTCGTTTTCCTCCCGGGCTCCAGTTGCAAGTGCTGCCTTTAGGTGTGTATAGGGCTTGCCGGGTTTAGGGATCAGGGGTTTAGTGCTTTAGGGTTTTGGGTTTAGGGGTGTAGGGTTTAGGGACTGTTAGCGTTTAGGGATTTAGGGCTTTAGGGCTTTCGGTTTGGGGTTCTTTGATTCTGGTTTTCTGAAACCCCCCGGGTTTGGGAGTGTGTTTCAGCTTAGATCGGAGCCCTTGCATTCCGGACTAACTGACCTCTTGGTGTTCAGGCTTTAGGGTATGACCTCGATTTGGTACTCTTCGGCTTTGGGGTTTAGGGTACTACTTGTAGTATGTACTTCTATTCTACGGTCGTGCATATACATATGTATATATACATATATATATATATATATATATATATATATAAACCCTAAACCCTAAACCCTAAACCGTATATATATATATATATATCTCTCTCTCTCTCTCTCTCTCTCTCTCTCTCTCTCTCTCTCTCTCTCTCTCTCTCTCTCTCTCTTAGTAGCTGAGTAGGTAACCTGTAACCTTTTGGGGTTTATAGAATCCTACAATAACTCAAAAGGTTAACCTTTTTTTGGGCTAGGGTACGCGGCCCCTAAGATATATATATATATATATATATGTGTGTGTGTGTGTGTGTGTGTGTTTGATTGATGATGATGAGCTGGAAGCTTTCTGGCCATATTGACTCGACAGTGTCATGGGGGGCCTTTCAGCCGATGTTGCAACACTAGCTAAGTCTGGGCTTGCTTCCACGTGCACTCTTGTTCAGAAGCAATTAGCGCATGAACCCGAACCCCGACCCAGGCTTTGCTGGGTGGTTGTCAAAATTATGGTCCCTTTTTGGGTACCCTATATATCAGGTGCCGTACTATATTAGGGGCCCAAAAAGGGACCATAATTTTGACAACCATCCATATGTTCAAGCCCCGATGTCAGAAAAGAAGTTTGTCAGTGCCTGTGACAGGACGAGGATGAAGCCAGTTCCTGACCGCGCGCTTTCCAAGTTCATGGCAGGCCCACGTTTTCTCCTGTTTCGCTGCGACCCCCATATTCTAAACCCTAAACCCTGAACCCTTAAGGCCAAGTTCCGATTTGCTTGAACTGCTGAGCATGCCGACCTGGTGATTTGCGAGAGTCTGTGATTAGTGATTAGCGTGCGTTTTACATGGTCGCAAGTTAGATTGAGCCTTTGGATGTAGGTACTCGTAGTACACATGTTCTGGTTTGCAGTGTTGCTTGAGGGTTTCATATATCCCCTAAACCCTCAACCCTAAACCTCTACAGACCCTAAGGCCAGGAAGCCCCAAATCCCGTTAACCCTTCACCCCGGAACCCCTAAACCCCATAATCCCTAAACCCCCAACCCCCTAACTCCTACACCCCCCACACCCGAAAACCCCTTAAACCCAAACCCCTAAACTCCAAACCCGGAACCAACCCCAAGCAGATAAGCCCTAGACCCCGAAACCTCTAAACCCTAAATCCCTAAACCCTAAGCCCTATCCAGGCATCGAAGGATGCCCTCTGTCGCAGGTGCTCCAAGCCGGGGGCTTTGTGCCGTCGTTTCGATGTTTCGAGTTCCTCATCCAGGTTTAGGGATAGTTTAGGGTTTAGGTTTGTATGTAGGACCTATAGGGTTTATAGGGTTTATGGATGCTTGGGTTTTAGAGTTTAGGGCTTTGGGCTTGTAGGGTTTAGGGGCTTAAAGCTCATAGGGTTTGAAGGCTGAGTGCTTTTAGGGTTTAGGGTTGTGAAATTTCCCTGTCTTGAAGCGCCGTGTTGACCTGTCCTCATGCGAGCGTAGTCTTTTGAGTTAGATCTGAATGCACCCTGTACGACAGACGTCTTGGGCTCAGACCAAAAAGTGCGCTCGTAGTGTGGTTGGACACTCACTAATCCAGTTCCTGCTTCAAACTGGTAGCGGAGCTGTGAGGACAACCACTAGTGTTTCACCCCCGTAGAGCCTGTGGTCCG